AATTCTACCGTGTAGTTTTTTAGCTATAGAGCTGTTTGTCGAATGTGGTGCCAACTTCACAGTTAATACCAGAGTACATTCTCAAGGAATATTATTTCTTTTATTTTTTTGTGCCACCTCCAGATTTTGGATATGTTATAGACAATATAATTATCTACAATATGGCCAAGTTTAAAAAAATTCTACCGTGTAGTTTTTTATTTATAAGGCTTTGTTTGTTAAAGAACCGGAATTCTTAATATAAATATATAAGATTATATTACGCGCATCCGTGTCATCCGACTTTGTCGATGATTTTCTACAATTTATTTTTTTGTGCCACCTCCAGATTTTGGATATGTTATAGACAATAAGAATATCATTCTGGCCAAGTTTAAAAATTCTACCGTTGTTTTTATTTATAGGCCTTTGTTTGAAAAATTACATCTATATAGGAAGTTAATTATATAAGATTATATTACGCGCATCGTGTCATCCGACTTTGTCGATGATTTTCTACAATTTATTTTTTTGTGCCACCTCCAGATTTTGGATATATTTTAGACAATATAATTATCTATATTCTGGCCAAGTTTAAAAAAATTCTACCGTGTAGTTTTTTATTTATAAGGCTTTGTTTGTTAAAGAACCGGAACTCTTAACTTAAATATATAAGATTATATTACGCGCATTCGTGTCATCCGACTTTGTCGATGATTTTCTACAATTTATTTTTTTGTGCCACCTCCAGATTTTGGATATGTTATAGACAATAAGAATATCTACATTATGGCCAAGTTTAAAAAAATTCTACCGTGTTGTTTTTTATTTTTAGGCCTTTGTTTGAAAAATTACATCTATATAGGAAGTTAATTATATGAGATTATATTACGCGCATCCGTGTCATCCGACTTTGTCGATGATTTTCTACAATTTATTTTTTTGTGCCACCTCCAGATTTTGGATATGTTATAGACAATAAGAATATCTACATTCTGGCCAAGTTTAAAAAAATTCTACCGTGTTGTTTTTTATTTATAGGCCTTTGTTTGAAAAATTACATCTATATAGGAAGTTAATTATATAAGATTATATTACGCGCATCCGTGTCATCCGACTTTGTCGATGATTTTCTACAATTTATTTTTTTGTGCCACCTCCAGATTTTGGATATATTTTAGACAATATAATTATCTATATTCTGGCCAAGTTTAAAAAAATTCTACCGTGTAGTTTTTTATTTATAAGGCTTTGTTTGTTAAAGAACCGGAATTCTTAACTTAAATATGCAAGATTATATTACGCGCATTCGTGTCATCCGACTTTGTCGATGATTTTCTACAATTTATTTTTTTGTGCCACCTCCAGATTTTGGATATGTTATAGACAATAAGAATATCTACATTATGGCCAAGTTTAAAAAAATTCTACCGTGTAGTTTTTTAGCTATAGAGCTGTTTGTCGAATGTGGTGCCAACTTCACAGTTAATACCAGAGTACATTCTCAAGGAATATTATTTCTTTTATTTTTGTGCCACCTCCAGATTTTGGATATGTTATAGACAATATAATTATCTACAATATGGCCAAGTTTAAAAATTCTACCGTGTAGTTTTTATTTATAAGGCTTTGTTTGTTAAAGAACCGGAATTCTTAATTAAATATATAAGATTATATTACGCGCATTCGTGTCATCCGACTTTGTCGATGATTTTCTACAATTTATTTTTTGTGCCACCTCCAGATTTTGGATATATTTATAGACAATAAAAATATCTACATTCTGGCCAAGTTTAAAAATTCTACCGTGTAGTTTTTATTTATAGGCCTTTGTTTGAAAAATTACATCTATATAGGAAGTTAATTATATAAGATTATATTACGCGCATCCGTGTCATCCGACTTTGTCGATGATTTTCTACAATTTATTTTTTTGTGCCACCTCCAGATTTTGGATATGTTATAGACAATAAGAATATCTACATTCTGGCCAAGTTTAAAAAAATTCTACCGTGTTGTTTTTTATTTTTAGGCCTTTGTTTGAAAATTACATCTATATAGGAAGTTAATTATATAAGATTATATTACGCGCATCCGTGTCATCCGACTTTGTCGATGATTTTCTACAATTTATTTTTTTGTGCCACCTCCAGATTTTGGATATGTTATAGACAATAAGAATATCTACATTATGGCCAAGTTTAAAAAATTCTACCGTGTAGTTTTTATTTATAGGCTGTTTGTTAAAGAACCGGAATTTAACTTAAATATATAAGATTATATTACGCATTCGTGTCATCCGATTTTGTCGATGATTTTCTATCATTTATTTTTGTGCCACCTCCAGATTTTGGATATGTTATAGACAATATAATTATCTACATTCTGGCCAAGTTTAAAAATTTCTACCGTGTAGTTTTATTTATAGGCCTTTGTTTGAAAAATTACATGATATAGGAAGTTAATTATATAAGATTATATTACGCGCATTCGTGTCATCCGACTTTGTCGATGATTTTCTACAATTTTTTTTTTGTGCCACCTCCAGATTTTGGATATATTTTAGACAATATAATTATCTATATTCTGGCCAAGTTTAAAAAATTCTACCGTGTATTTTTATTTATAGGCCTTTGTTTGAAAAATTACATGGATATATGAAGTTAATTATATAAGATTATATTACGCGCATTCGTGTCATCCGACTTTGTCGATGATTTTCTATCAATTTATTTTTGTGCCACCTCCAGATTTTGGATATGTTATAGACAATAAGAATATCTACATTATGGCCAAGTTTAAAAAATTCTACCGTGTAGTTTTTAGCTATAGAGCTGTTTGTCGAATGTGGTGCCAACTTCACGGTTAATACCAGAGTACATTCTCAAGGAATATTATTCCTTTATTTTTTGTGCCACCTCCAGATTTTGGATATGTTATAGACAATAGAATATCTACAATATGGCCAAGTTTAAAAAATTCTACCGTGTAGTTTTTATTTATAAGGCTTTGTTTGTTAAAGAACCGGAATTCTTAATTAAATATATAAGATTATATTACGCGCATTCGTGTCATCCGACTTTGTCGATGATTTTCTATTTATTTTTTGTGCCACCTCCAGATTTTGGATATATTATAGACAATAAGAATATCTGGCCAAGTTTAAAAATTCTACCGTGTAGTTTTTATTTATAAGGCTTTGTTTTTAAAGAACTGGAATTTTAACTTAATTATATAAGATTATATTACGCGCATTCGTGTCATCCGACTTTGTCGATGATTTTCTATCATTTATTTTTGTGCCACCTCCAGATTTTGATATGTTATAGACAATAAGAATATCTACAATATGGCCAAGTTTAAAAAATTCTACCGTGTAGTTTTTATTTATAAGGCTTTGTTTGTTAAAGAACCGGAATTTTTAACTAAATATATAAGATTATATTACGCGCATTCGTGTCATCCGACTTTGTCGATGATTTTCTATCATTTATTTTTGTGCCACCTCCAGATTTTGGATATATTTTAGACAATATAATTATCTATATTCTGGCCAAGTTTAAAAAAATTCTACCGTGTAGTTTTTTATTTATAAGGCTATGTTTGTTAAAGAACCGGAATTCTTAACTTAAATACAAAAGATTATATTACGCGCATTCGTGTCATCCGAATTTGTCGATGATTTTCTACAACTTATTTTTTTGTGCCACCTCCAGATTTTGGATATATTTTAGACAATATAATTATCTATATTCTGGCAAAGTTTAAAAAAATTCTACCGTGTAGTTTTTTATTTATAAGGCTTTGTTTGGTAAAGAACCGGAATTCTTAACTTAAATATATAAGATTATATTACGCGCATTCGTGTCATCCGACTTTGTCGATGATTTTCCATCATTTATTTTTTTGTGCCACCTCCAGATTTTGGATATGTTATAGACAATAAGAATATCTACATTACGGCCAAGTTTAAAAAAATTCTACCGTGTAGTTTTTTAGCTATAGAGCTGTTTGTCGAATGTGGTGCCAACTTCACGGTTAATACCAGAGTACATTCTCAAGGAATATTATTCCTTTTATTTTTTTGTGCCACCTCCAGATTTTGGATATGTCATAGACAATAAGAATATCTACAATATGGCCAAGTTTAAAAAAATTCTACCGTGTAGTTTTTTATTTATAAGGCTTTGTTTGTTAAAGAACCGGAATTCTTAACTTAAATATATAAGATTATATTACGCGCATTCGTGTCATCCGACTTTGTCGATGATTTTCTATCATTTATTTTTTTGTGCCACCTCCAGATTTTGGATATATTTTAGACAATATAAATATCTATATTCTGGCCAAGTTTAAAAAAATTCTACGGTGTAGTTTTTTATTTATAGGACTTTGTTTGAAAAATTACATGGATATAGGAAGTCAATTATATAAGATTATATTACGCGCATCCGTGTCATCCGACTTTGTCGATGATTTTCTACAACGTATTTTTTTGTGCCACCTCCAGATTTTGGATATATTTTAGACAATATAATTATCTATATTCTGGCCAAGTTTAAAAAAATTCTACCGTGTAGTTTTTTATTTATAGGCCTTTGTTTGAAAAATTACATGGATGTAGGAAGTTAACTATATAAGATTATATTACGCGCATCCGTGTCATCCGACTTTGTCGATGATTTTCTATAACTTATTTTTTTGTGCCACCTCCAGATTTTGGATATATTTTAGACAATATAATTATCTATATTCTGGCCAAGTTTAAAAAAATTCTACCGTGTAGTTTTTGAATTATAGGCTAATTAAGAGAAATGGAAAGTACACTGTAATATAAATCTTAGAGTTTTCTTCAATTTCTTGACTTTTATACACATATTGTGATGGTTAAGGACAGTAAAATAATAATAAGCAGTTAAGAATTGTTTTTTACTGTTGTATTTGATGGAAAACGTGTTTTAAAGACGATTTTTCGATTTATCATTTTGAATGATAAATTTTAGTTGAATGTGGTGTTGAATGTTGTGATGAATGTTGTGTTGATAGTGGTGCCCAATGTGGTGCCAATTTCACGGTAGTAAAACATTGCGCATTGGCTGCACTTGTGCTCTAATGAGACTGAACGCCTTGTTTCTTTTTTCACTACACCAGGTTAATCACTCTCAAAGAATGTCAGAGAGGCCACTTACTCCTTGGGTTGTTTGCGAAAAGAACGGCAAAGTATTAACAGCGCACTGCGATTGTATGGCAGGAATAGGTGAAAGCTGCTCTCACGTCGCTTCACTTCTGTGGGCTGTTGAAGCTGGTGCACGAAAACGAGATTCTTTAACTGTGACTGATAAGAAGGCATACTGGGTGCTTCCAAGTGCTGTCAAGGCTGTGCCATACGCTAAAGTACAGAATATCAATTTTAGTAAATTTAATAAGAAATGCGAAGGCAAAATGCAAAGAAATCCAGTTCCTGCCCCATCATCGTCAGAATTGGATGAATATTTTAAAACTATTAGTTCTTTCTCATCAAAACCAGCAATACTTTCTTTAATACATCCATATTCTGATTGTTATGTACCTAAAGCCTTGCACTCTGACTTGCCACCAGTCAAGAGTGATCTTTATGATCCCACACTATTAGACAAATCACTTGAAACTTTGCTGGAATTATCAGAGTCGAAAATGGACTGCTTTAATGTTACAGTTGAGCAGCAAAAAGCTGTAGAAGAAAAAACTAGAGATCAAGCCAATTCTCGTCTTTGGTTTCGATTTCGTGCTGGAAGAGTGACTGCTTCAAGGTTCAAAGCAGCTTGTTGCACCAACAGAGATTCACCTTCCAAGAGTTTGATCACAAGCATTTGCTATCCAGAGCTGAAGAAATTTTCAACTGCAGCAACAAGATGGGGTTGCCAGCATGAAGAGGTGGCAAGAGACAAATATCGAAAATGGCTAAACACAAACCATGAAAATGTTTCAGTAACAAACAGTGGATTCTGGATTCATTTGACCCATGGATTTCTTGTTGCTTCTCCAGATGGACTTGTCTCTTGCCAATGTTGTGGCACTGGGATTTGTGAAATAAAGGTTTGTTATTATTGTGTCTATGTTTTATGGGGAAAAGGTCAACATAATAATCACATCACCTATTGATTTTGTTTTGATAGTGTCCATTTTGCCATAAAGATGAGACGATTGAAACTTCAACAAATGACAGGTTGTTTTGCATTGAAGTAAATAGTGATGGCACAAAACAACTTAAAAGAACTTGTGCATATTACTATCAAGTAAGTACATTTGTAAATTATTCTAATTTCACTTAACAAGTTTAATGTATAGCAATTCACTTTCTTAAGTAGTTGCTCAGTTGTCATGCACTGGTTAGAGCTAATGTGATTTTGTAGTGTGGACAGAAAAAGACTTGTTTTCATAAATTCGTTTAACAAGCTTAATGCATAGAAATTCACTTTTTTAGGTTATGGCTCAGTTGTCATGCACAGGTTTGAGCTACTGTGATTTTGTTGTGTGGACAGAGAAAGACTTGTTTCTTGAACGAATCTTGCAAAATAACGAATTTGTAGAAAGGAACATAGAGGCAGCAAAGAAATTTGTGTTGAGGGGACTCCTTCCAGAGTTAACAGGAAAATGATACTGAAGACCTCAAAAAAATGGAATATAATAAAATCAAATGTCTTATAAATATTATTAGTACAATTTTAAGTGTATGCATGCAAAATCTTTCAAAAAATATTATTTAGTCATAAGGTACGACAGAATCACAAATGTTAATTAGTGCACAGCTAACAGTAACTATTTTGTCAATCGTAGTGAGCTCATTTTCTTTAGAATTGACAAAATCAATTGGCTGAGTTGAACTCAGAAGTGCATACTTCTTTCTAATGTTTCCAATCACTCTTTCCACATGAATCCTCACATTAGCAATTTGTCTGGTTTGTTCAACTTCGATGCCACTGAGCTGTTTTTTACCCTTAGTAAAAGCTGGCATCTTGATAGTTGCACAGTACAAACCAACTGACTCCTGGATATCAAAGCCTCTATCAGCTAAGATTACATCTCCAGGTAAGAGCTTATCAAGGAGACCACTGTTCTCAGTCAAATGTTTGTCACTGACTCTTCCTCCCCAGCCACTGGAAATAAAGCTTACTGTACCCTGGGTAGTGACAGCAATTAAGTACTTAATCGTGTTGTGGTGCTTGTAGGATGAGTAAGTTTGTGCCCTCGCAAGAGGATTTAATGCACGATCCAAAAAAATCTCAAAGCAGTCAATGATGGCAACACATTTAGGGCAGTGTTTTCTAAAATCCATGGGCAACGCCTTTCTTAAGGCTTCCCTGTCAGGCCATAAAATAAGAGGGCTTAATCAATTATAAAGAACATCAATTACTTGTAAGAAAATTCTTGATACAGTTCCCTTGTTGATGTTTCCAAATCGATAAGCCAAATCTACACCAGTTAAATTAAGTCGCAGTTTCATAACTGTTAAAAGCAACTGTCTAAATGGTGACAAAGAGCATTTGGGAGAACGCATAAGGTAGGGGCGTACCAGTTCCAGTGTTGCTGACAAGATCTTCCAATTTGGCAGACCAGTGTAAGAGAGGACTTTTCGTCATCATTTAAGAAGGATTTCTCGTCAAGCGTCATGTCACTTATCTTGTTCTTTAACTCAAGATTTTCTTGGGTCAAGCGATTGATCTCGCTCTTCATTGCAGTTATTTTATCCAAACTCAGTTCTGTTTGTGAATATTTGTTGTTCGATTCTGATTCTGACAATGAAGCAGATGTGGCTCCGTGTTCTTCGTCTACAAGATGGTTTGTCAAGGTCGATTGAGTCACTGCTGACAGTACTGTTTCAATGGATTCACTTTTTCGTTTTCATTTCTCTCCGAAATACGAGCATAGCGATCGACATCAACTTTTTCCACATATGTATGTCCAAGGTTTTGAGATGGAGCCCAGTCTGGATTAGTTTGGTCCGTTAAAGCCGATGGTTTCCCTGTCGTTGTAAACAAAACAACAAATGGTATAAAATGACACAAACGAACACAACAAAGCTTTTTTTAACTCATTGGCTTACCAGTAACAAAATGAAGGCTGCACACTCGTAAATACGTGCATTTAGAATCATCAATGTCTGCCCGACGAATTCTTCGAAGCCACAAAGAACGACGTTCCTTTTGTAAATCTTGCAATATTTTGCTCGCATTGGTTTTCACAGCTGGTATGCGATAAAAACTTAATTCCTTATCCCTATCAGCACGCTTTGAACAGCCATAAATTGCGCAAAAGTTAACCATCCTTAACAATAATATTGCTTTGTTATTTACATGTGGCGTTTGTTTGTCCTCCAGATGTAACGTCACCGGGTTGTGACGTCACATGCAATGGGTCTATAGGGCA